CACTTATGTTTATCCTTGCTCTTTTTCTACTTCCCTTGCTTCCACTCTTTTCCCCCTTTTTCTACTTGCTCCACTCGCGTTCGTCTATTTCTTGGCCCTCCGTTTCCCTGCGCTATTCCCTTCCCCTCGGCCCCTCGTCCTCCTTCTTCCTCGCTTTCTTCGATTAATCATAAGCAGCGACGGTCGAACGACCCGCGATCGATCGGCGAACGAGGAAGGAAGACCGGCGCGTTTCAAGTGGCTGCGAAACTCCGGGAAATCGAGAGAAATTTCATTCGCGAGCCGCTGATAAGGCGGAAGAGAGGGGAGCGCGGTTAGTAGATTCTTTTGCCTTGCATCCAACTTTCATATCCGCCTCGCGTACAGACTTCTTTGTGCATTACGGGGCGAACGGGGGAGGGGAGGGGCCTGAAACTCGCGCGCAATTACCTCTCGCGAATACACGTCGACGTCGGTTCTGGTCGGGACGAGTATCCTTACAGAGTAAGTGTTGCCTCCGGTCGAGGATCGTCGCGTAATACTTCCCGATGGTCCTCTTAATCCGATAATCGAATCATTCCTCGATCGTACCGATAAATTAACGCGTTTTTTCGCCGATCGGCGGATAGTGCTACCAAACGCTCGTTTCCCGAGCAAAACTCAATAACTTCGAAAGTATTAGTGATAGACAAAGATGCTTCGGATGAAAATTGTAAGGCATGGAGCTAAATATATGGCGATTATAAGTATTTTCAGTTTTTATACATTATAGGGACGTTACGAGGTATTTTCGATGGTAATGGATACATCGCGTCTCGATTCCAGCGTTGCATAAATAGAGAAATGGAATTTATTCATCGGAATTGATTAAGATGTTAATAGATTAAGTTCTAGAGCAAGTGAAGAACCTTTAGAAATTCAGCGTGAAACTTTCACCACGGGTCTGACACGATATCATAGAATAAGGGGTTGGTATTCTATTACTCGCAGAAAAGAAACAATTCTCGCTACGCGGCGAACGCGCTAAAGACGACGACTAACTGACGATTCGTCTCGGGGCAAACGTGATTAGTACACTGCGGATCTTTGTGGGGAGTGTACCGCTGGATGAGGGGGCGCGGGAGGGTGTGCCTGAACCAAATTAAAGCGAGGATGAACTGTTTGGTAGTTTACCGAGAAGGAACATTGTGTGCCGAAGTTTCAACCACCTATGCATGCCCGGGAGGGTAGTTGCACGGTGAAAATTCGGATTATTAATTTTTGTTCCCGATCCAGCGGCTCCGTTCGAATTTTACCCGTAACGCGTTAAAATCCAATGAGAAAGGTAAAAAAAGATTTACCGTTAATATTACGGTTTCCCGGTTACGCTTTTCGCGTATTTATAGCGAAGTATTGCCAACCCGCGATCGAAAGCTGTTGTATTTTGGGAGCTTAACAATTTCAGTCTGTTAAAAATAACATAGGGAACGCGACGATAAAAATCCCCACCGGGAATCCCATTCGGCTTTCCGTTTTTATCTTCACCGAGAATCTTTCAAGGCCATAAACGCATAAAGATCCACGGTTCGGTGATTAAAATGCAACTGGGATGCCGAGTAAGCTCTCGTTCAAAGCAAGACAAAAGCATCAAAGAAAATGCCCGCACACATATCTAACGAAAACGCATAAATAACGGAACAAAAGGAAGATCTCCAATGATCTCGTTAGCAACGTTGATGAAACGTTCGTTAATACACGTTGACGCGATTAACCAGGTACTACACGCTATCGAGCCCCTAGCAAAGCGTCTAAAGGACAATTAGCAACTATGAATTCAACCTGAGAACCGAGTATCGCTTACGTCAATTAACTCTTTAGCTACGACAGAATTTTCAACTAAATTCAATCAATCTAAAACAATCGATACAATATATATCTAACGGAAGATGTGATTGTTGAATAATTCACTTTGTAGACGGTTCGCCCTTTTGCTTGTCGATACTTGGGGCCTGAGAGATAGTCCAGGCCCATTGACAAATTTATGACCAAGGGGACCACCATGACCTGGCTCACGTGCGCCCTCGACTAAGGAGCCTTCCTTTTTAGAAAAGCAGTTGAGGAAAAGCAATTAGCCGCCGTTCCTCGTTAGAGCCACATCGCGTAATAAATATATTTAACCCGACTACGGACTTAGTTTTTATTTTAGTAGCCCTACAACTTAAATCTAAGAGACCTTCTTCAATCGTCAATAACATTCTTCCAGCAACTATAGGCGTTAACAGTATACCAAAATCAAATTGCTAAACGCGCCAACAGTAGCCAATGAGTTAACACAATACGCGCCGGCCCGATAATGCGAGATTTTTAGTCTATCGTTTAATTACTAATCCTACGTTAATGTAACATTTTAGATATGCTTAACACAAATCCAAAGTAAAATGGCAAAATCGCATTATCTATTCTATTCTTATTCTTTCTCGTAAGTTATAAATTCATTTAAAATATATTTAACCTAACTACGGACTTAGTCTTTATTTTAGTAGCCCTACAACTTATATTAGATCTAAAAGACCTTCTCAATCGTCAATAACATTCTTCGAGCGACTATAGGCGTGAACAGTATACTAAAATCAAATTGCTGAACGTGCCAATAGTAGCCAATGAGTTAACACAATGCGCGCCGACCCCGCTAAAATAATTTTTAGTCTATCGTTTAATTACTAATTCTGCGTTAATGTGACATGTTAGATGTGCATAACACAAATCCAAAGTAAAATCGCAAAATCGCATTACCTATTCTATTCTCATTCTTTCTCGTAAGTTATAAATTTCGGTTCGATCGATGTTTAACCCTTTGGCGTACTATTTACTTTCGCTACTAAGCTCGTGTAATATTTTGCTATCGACAGTTTGGAAGAAATGCAACAAAATTTTCCGTTCTACTTCAAGTGAAAATTTCATTTGAAGATAATACATTGATAATAGCAAAATCTTTGTTTCTTTTGATCCGTGGGTAATGAACGACATTGATTGTTGTTAAATTAGTCTAGAAATCTTCATCACGAGTCTCACTCGTCGTTGTACGGCAAGGGGTTAACACTAGGTTTACGGACATTTATTGTACACTTCATTCTATTATTCCTAAAAGAATTGATGCTCGTTTATTTAGATTGTAGAAACTGGAGATTTAATAGTAGGTAATTGGGGTACATGTCAGTGTGATCGCATCAATCAAAATCGGCGTAAACATTTACAAAATAATATTTCTAAAATCCAATATGCATCAATTTGACGCGTTCCGTAAACCTAGTGTTAAAAATGTCTCCGCATAATCACTGACGCTCGCGTTATCTGAAATTTCGCCGGAATGTGTGAAAACAACCTTCGAAATAATCATTGCCCCAGAAAAACCGCGAAAGACCTTTTTCCCGGCAACGTTAACGACGAAACGATTCCAACGAGCGTAATCGCGAAAGAAATCGCCGGGACAATGGGTCGAAGCTCGAGTGGTTAGTTTAAAAACGGCCGGAATCAAGAAACAATTACCAGGAGACAGAGGGTGGCGTTATACGCGCGGGGTAACAGGCTAATCGAACCGCGAGCGGTTGTTTAAACGAAGAAAACTGGTTCTCGCGCGACGCTGTTGCAACGCGGGCGTCGAGCGGCTCGCGGGAAATTGGCTGGGCGATCGTAAAGGTGTCCGGTCGGTTTGCAGAGCTTGAATTCTAGCCAGGCGGTCCGCGTTCCGCGGCCGCCGGATCCGCGAGGCGTGTCGCGGCGATAAACCGCTAAGTACACGAATATTGGAGCATTCCGCGACGCGATAAACGTAAAGTCCAACTACCGGTCGCCCGTTTCGGTCGTCGTCGTACGCGTTTTCCGCTCGCTGGTAAATGGTGCCCGGGATCTCGCGCGTAAAACCCGGAACGGATCGGATCCGCGGGACAACGCTCGCCCGGGAGTCCTAGGGATTGCAGATCATTTTATTCGACGTCGCGTCTGAACGCATTTCGAACTTGGCAACGAAAGTATCGCTTTGTTTT